AGTACTGGCAGGGTGTAGATTCTTTGGAACACTTGTAGAATACATGAAGAAATAAATGAGTGAATGAGCCCTTCCCTCTTCTCTCTCTCTCTCTCTCTCTCTCTCGTGTGTGTGTGTGTGTGTGTGTGTGTGTGTGTGTGTGTATTTTTTTTTTTTTGAGATGGAGTTTCACTCTTGTTGCCCAGGCAGGCTGGTCTCAAACTCCTGACCTCAGGTGATCCACCCACCTTGGCGTCCCACAGTGCTGGGATTATAGGCATGAGCCACCACGCCTGGCCAATTTCTTTTACGTGGTTATGGTCAGACTGTATATATTTTGTGCCTAACTTTCCTCACCCAAAATAATACAAATAATAAGCATGGAGAGTATCCTAAGTTTTTGTTTTGTTTTTTAATACAGGGTCTCACTCTGTTACCCAGGCTAGAGTGCAGTGGCATGATTACCACTCACTGCAGCCTCAACCCCCCCAGGCTTAATCAATCCTCCTGCTTCAGCCTCCCCAGTAGCTGGGACTACAGGTGCATGCCACCACAACCTGCTAATTTTTGTATGTTTTGTAGAGATAGGGGGTCAGCATATTGCCCAGTCTGGTCTCAAATTCCTGGGCTCAAGTGATCCACCCACATCAGCTTCCCAACATGTTGGGATTACAGGTGTGAGCCACTGTGCCTGGCCCTAAGATTCTTTCCATCTTGAAATACAACTTTATTAAAAGAAAATGTGGAAATGATACTGCTAATTGAAAAGAAAAGAAAAGCATTCGGAAACCCACCCTGATAGAACTATCACTAATGTTTTGGTGTCTTCCCATTTAGCTCATGATTTTCAGAGTATAAGTTTTAAATGATATCATAATGTCATTAGAATTTTGTGTACTATGGTTTTTATGGGCTTGTAAATTTCACTGCAAAAACAATTTAATGAGATACATAAAAATTCATCTAATCACTTCCTTATTCTGTAAATTTGTCAATCTTTTTCTAATATCACACTCGACTTTTTTTTTCATGAAAAGCTTTTTCTAAACTTGGAATTAGGAAATGATGTTTGAATGGCCCCCACGCTACCTCTTACCATCCTACCATGACCCTCTTCCTTCCGTCATCCCACCACTGATGAACCATTTATGGCTCTGGCTTCTCATTTGTTTGAAATGGCTCCCTTAAGGAGTGACCTCCCGGTGTCTTCAATTATTATTTTAAATGATGCCTCAGGCCACTGCCTGGCACAGCGGTGCCCTCACCTTCCCCTCTTCTGCCTTCCAAGCATGGAGCTCAGCTGCCAAGCTGGCTTTGCCCCCTCCTGTCCTCAGAGCTGCCTCCAGAGTCCCAGCAGAGAGCCAGATTAACCCCTTTTGTTAGCAGATGTAATTTTCCTGGGCTCAGCATTAATAAGGAATGCTGTAAGCAGTCTGGTCAAGATGAACAGATCTGTCAAGCCCCAGGGTTAATTTAATAGCAATCTGTAGGCTGTTGGGGTTGTATATTAGCCGTGAATACAATGCTCTGTTTTGCTTTTGCCATCTAGTTATTTGGGACAACAGGGAAATAATTTGGATAGAGAGCTCTAAAGGATTTAGAAAAAGAAAAAGAAAATTGACTGTCAAAATGCATCATTCCATTTTCAAGATTGTACATGGAGCCACACATTGCTCATCCTCTTCTTCCCTCCCAACATGAAGGGCAAAACAGCATATGCTGAAAACATGGGTTGCCCTTTAGAGCAGTGCAGGGGGAAATGCCCAGGTTTCTAGAGGATGCAGATGTCAAATATCCTCTCCTGTCATCTCCATAAGCCATTTAATTTTTGGCAACTAGGCTTCTCTCAAATGTTTCTAGAACTCAGCAAATCCTCCAGCAGGTAAAAATCCAAACAATCCCTTGTCAGTCTTTTGTCCCAAATTCTGCTTTGAAAAAAAAATCACATCATAGCACATAAAAATTCTGGTTCTGGAAAATGCAGTCACCAAAGTAGTAGGTAAATTAAGAGAACACAGACCTGAAGCCATGGATTAGCTGGGATTCTTTTCAAGAGAACCAAAATTATCATGTGCAGAAAGACCAGCTTTGTAAGGCCATTCCTCAGGGAGGCAGAGTGGCATGGTGAGAAAGAACTCAGGATCCAGAGTCAGACAAGCTTGGGTTCAAATCCCAGCTCTGCCCACTGCACCACATAACCTTGAGTAATTTATCTGAGTTCCCTCAGCTGTAAAATGGAGCTGTTAATGGTCCTGCCCTCATAAGGCTGAGACGAGGGGCAAGGGGGACAATGCATGGAAAGTGCTGGCACAGGGCAGGCCTGGCCCTTGATCAGCATTAGCTACTGGCCGTGATTAGCTTCCTCTTAACTTCACCATCACAGTGATTAAAAAGAGGGAATAGTTGTGGTTTATCCCTAGAACCCCTTTGAGTCAAACATAAGCAAGCCCTTTAGTCAAAAAGGAGAGCTGCAGGGGGAAGGAAGCTAATGGCTTGGGGATGAGGGCTGGGTGGTGGGTAGGCTTGGAAAGTCCAGTGAAGGAAAAAAAGATCCAGAGATGGCAGCTCTAGGTAGATCTCGTGGGCACGGCCCCACTGGCGTCCTGGATGGCAGAGGATGTTCCTGGTTTCATAGACATGTTTGGGTACTTTGTTTTTGCACATTCTGACTTCGGGGCTTTATTTTTAGGTGGGAAAAAATAACTCTAGCTGTAGCACCTCCCCCTCCCACACAGCAAAGATCCCTTCCAGTTCAGCTTGTTTTTAGAGCTATACTGGTAGAGGTTGAGAAAGCTGACACCAGATTTTCTTTCTCTATTTTGAGAAAAGAGAAACATGTTGTTCGCTGGCACAGTGGGGTATCAAGGCTCGCTCTGGAGGATGAGGAAATCTGACAGCAGCTGAACACTAACCTCTGTTTACCTAATGCCGTGTCATGGCCACAAAGCCCAGGCCATGGGTCTGTGGCTGGGAGGGCACCAGAGCTGCAGCCTGGAGCCTCCTCCTGAGGGGCGCAGGCTCTTGCTCCACAGCATGTGGTGCTAACTGCAATCTTATTTATAACTCTGGCAGAAGTTGAGTCGAAAGGTAGTATTTTGTGATTCCAGGAGACCCACGTGCCCTGGAGACCCAAGTAATATTTGCATCTGGGTTTGGTGGGAGAAACTGTAGGAACATGAGCTGTTAGCTCAGCCTCAAGCCAATTTTAGAAAGAACCCAACAGGGTTTATAAGAGATAATGAAGGGGAAAGAGGCACAAACAAATACAAAGCCATTGCTGCAACAAACTGCATGTTGGAATGCTGTAGCAGGGGCACAGGTAATGTTTGATCATTCATGATTACTTTGTAGAGCTAGCAGGACTAAAAATATGAGTGCATTTGCTTATACTGCATCTAAACTCAAAGGACAGGACTATGCTACCAGCTTCATGAAAAGCATACAAGACTTTCATCCACCTCAGTCTAATGGGACAGCTATATCAAGTTATTGCTTGTTGATTAAATACATTGTTGTCCAAAATGTGGTGTACAAACTCCTGGCACATGCATTTGCAATTATATGTTGATTTTATTTCTATTATTTAAAATGTAGCTACCTCATTAAACCCATGATTTTATGACTATTGGGTTACTGTTGAGATAAAGCTAAGTAAAGAAAAAAGTGAATCGATTTAAAGTTGATCTGAAAGAAAAATGTTAAGTAAAAAGTACTACCTGATGATGCACAGATAGGGCAACATCACAAAGGTGGCTCACGACTGGGAAAATCTAGTAAAGGTGGGAGTCCTGTTGTAATGAGTTGGGATGTAACTGCATCCACATCACAAGGCTTGTTCTTTGCAGGATGTTGGTGGGTCCTCAGACAGCACCTCAGCCCCTCTGTGTCCTGATTCCCCAACCTCTTGGCAGAGGTGTGAAGAGATCTGTGCAAAACCGCACCTTCACTCATACCAGACATCCTACCAAAGGGGTTGTTTTCATTGAGTCGCCTTCATAAATAAAAGGCTAAATGTTTCATTCCAGTATACAAGAATATGGTCTTTAAAAAATAGAGGTATGATTCTTGATCAGAAAGGGAAATATTGAGGAAAAAAAAAACCCAAATGATAAAACTAAGGATATTTTCCATGGGACCCTAAAATGTTCCAACTGGATGGCTTCTTTCCGATACTTAAAAACTCCCTCACAAGCTCAAAAGCAGATCACAACTTAAAGAGACTAGAACTCTTATATATCATACATGAGAAAAATTTTGCATAATTATGAAAGAGCACAGACTTTGCACCTGGGATGAAATCCTAGTGTTGTCACTTAGCCATGTGACTTGAGGCAAGTTACTTACTTTATGCACTTGGAGCAACTGTTTCTACCCCTGAAAAAATGAGGATAAGGAAAATGCTGATTATAGAGTTCTTGTAAGGATTAAATGAGGTAAAATACATGATATGCTCTGCACAGTGAATGGCCTATAGCTATTGCTCAATCATTGGTGGCTACTATTATCATTAACATCAACATATTATAAAGAAGGGCTTAGGGATTTCATGAAGGAGGATGGCAGTCTATTATACATATCACTTATCAGCCCAAGAATCCAGGTAAGAAATCAGATAAAATGAATTATTTGGTTATAATAGAACTAGTAATCATTATTATAAAATGAGGAGCAAAATCTTTGCAACTTGGTACATTTTAGCCTGATTGTACAAGCAGTTAACTTGGGTCGTGAGTGGATGTCTTTTACATGTTTATGGAGGATAAAACACAAACGAGGAGTCAGGAGACCCGAGTTCTAATGCTATCTCTGACTACTGGGTAGCCCTGGGGTATTAAATATTTCCTGAGTCTCATCTGCCTGGGACAAGTTTATAATGAGGATCCACCATGTGCATAGCAAATTCTGACAGATTATACTAATTCAAGATGATGCCATTGCTAATTCTCCTTTTCCCCAAGTTCCTGCCTCCTTCTGCTCGTTCCTTCCTTCTCCTGGTTCCCTCCTTGACTCGTCTGTGCCAGATATCGTGGACATTAAGCCGGCCAACATGGAGGAGCTCACGGAGGTGATCACAGCAGCGGAGTTCCACCCCCATCATTGCAACACCTTCGTGTACAGCAGCAGCAAAGGGACAATCCGGCTGTGTGACATGCGGGCATCTGCCCTATGTGACAGGCACACCAAATGTGAGTAGCAGCTGAAGGGAGGTGGAGGGCATGGCCACTGGCCCCAATGTGTGGGAGGAGGGCCTGGAAGCTTTTGATCTCCCTTTCTATACCAGACACTCTAGGAGTAAAGAAACTACAAGTGAGAGTCAGCTCCGTATTTTATGTTTCAGTAAAGATGAACATTCATGTTCGATTCCAAAACATCCAGAGATCTAAATGAGTAAGACATGACCCTTGACAGAAAAGGGTTTAAATAACAGTGTGATGTGATCCAAATCATGTGTTAAGGAAATCAGGCTTGCTGCCATGGGGAGAATGACGTTGAGGAGTAGCAGGGGGACCAGTTAGGAGACCGTTGAAAGGTGGCCTAGACAAGGAGGTGGGCAGATGGGTTCTGGACACATCTTTTTGTTTTTTAATCCATGTAACCTGCACAGTACTGCTCAGATCTTGGCCATAAAGTTAACGGGACTTGCTGAGCTGCGAGGGAGGCTGAGAACATGAAAGACATCTAGAACAGCAGCTGGGGGAAGGAGCTGGTAGCTTCTTGGAGAGATTGCGGCTACAGGAAGAACAACTCTAGACGTTCCCATGGTTTGAGTGGGCACCAGAGAAAAGCTTCAGAAAGACAGAATGAAAGTACAGCAGACTCATGGCCCTTGGGTCACACTGGAGTTTTCAGGACACTGAGGGAGCAAAGAAGCTCTTAAGTTAGTGGGAGCCAAGTGCTAGGATGCAGAAGCACTTAGCTGCCGGTCCTAATGTGAGCCAGTGAAGCCTGTTAGCACTGACTACGGGTGCTGTGGTAGAAAAGATGGGCCTGGAGCTAGTGGGCGTATTTCAAAAAACTGCTCCTTAGAGTAGAGGTGGCTGTAAGGTGGCAGTAGTCACTGCCCAGTGTTGGGCTAAATAACGTGCAGCTTCTAAGATGTTCAGGAGGGCTGTAGCCGTGTACGCCCTGCGGTCGCCTTCTGCTGCATGCGGTTTTGCCACTGCAGTTTGCTGTGGAAAGCCAGAGATGAAGACCTTTCTCCCACAGTTTTCAGTTTCAGTCCCTGCGTCCCGTCGGGGATGTGCTGGCTGTCTGTGTGGGTATATGGCTAAGAGATGGATGGAGAGCTTGTGGTCCTTTTGGTAATTTTTGTTTGCTCGTGTGTTGCCAGAGGTTTGCATGGGGGAGCTGGTATGCAGAGTACAGTGGTAATGTACAGAGCGTGGATTCTAAAATCACATGCACCCAGGTCAGAACTAGGCTGCCCCCTTACTGGCCAACTTTGTCCGCCTTCCCTGAACGTTTCTGAGCTTCCATTTTCTCATATGTAATGGGTAAGATTGTCCTAACAACCACCTCAGGGGTTCATTACAGGGCTTAGATGAGATAAATATTAAAAATGGTTACTGAGATACTCTACATTCTTTCTTTTCTATACTAAGTCTTCAAACCTTGGTGTGTATTTTTTCATTACATCATATTTCAATTCAGATTAGCCACATTTCAGGTGCTTAAAATCTCTGTGTAGCTAGTGGCTTCCATATTAGTGTAGACTTAGGACACACCATCATTGCAGAAAATTCTGCTCGAGAGTACTGAGAGCTTCTTGAGAGCGTAGACTGTTCTGTCTTTTTTTTTCTCATTTATTTATTTTATTCCATTTTCGGTTTTGGGGTACATGTGACGAACATGCAAGATTGTTGCATAGGTACACACGTGGTAGTATGATTTGCTGCCTTCCTCCCCATCACCTACATCTGGCATCTCTCCCCTTGCTATCTCTCCCCAGCTCCCCACTCCCCACCGTCCCTCCCCTATTTCCCCCCAACTGACCCCAGTGTGTAGTGCTCCCCTCCTGTGTCCATGTGTTCTCATTGTTCAACACCCACCTATGAGTGAGAACATGCGGTGTTTGATCTTCTGCTTTTCTGTCAGTTTCCTGAGAATGATGAAAATGCTCATCATCACTGGTCATCAGAGAAATGCAAATCAAAACTACATTGAGATACCATCTCACACCAGTTAGAATGGCGATCATTAAAAAATCTGGAGACAGCAGATGCTGGAGAGGATGTTGAGAAATAGGAACACTTTTACACTGTTGGTGGGAGTGTGAATTAGTTCAACCATTGTGGAAGACAGTGTGGCGATTCCTCAAGGACCTAGAAATAGAAATTCCATTTGACCCAGCAATCCCATTACTGGGTGTTCTTTTTCACTGCTGTTTTCTTAGCACCTAAAACAGTGCCTGACCTACGATCGGTGTTAATGTTTACTGATGTTTGTGCTAGTGTTGATCTTTGAGCAGTGATCTTAACATAAGATGACAAGGGGAAAAGTGTTCAGAACAGAAGAATCAGCTTGTGCAAAGTACTGAGGCATGAAAGATCATGTGTCTACGGAACTGTCTTATGATTGACGACCAAATGACTTGGACGAGGAGTTGAGGCTCATGAGGAATGCCTGAGCTATGCCATAATGACCATGATTTTGAAAACTTGAGGCCAGGCGTGGTGGCTCATGTCTGTAATCCCAGCACTTTGGGAGGCAGAGGCAGATGGATCACGAGGTCAGGAGTTCAAGACCAGCCTGGCCAAGATGGTGAAACCCCATCTCTACTAAAAATACAAGAATTAGCCGGGTGAGGTAGCATGCACCTGTAATCCCAGCTACTCAGGAGGCTGAGGAAGAGAATTGCTTGAACCTGAAAGGTGGAGGTTGCAGTGAGCTGAGATAGTGCCACTGCAGTCCAGCCTGGGCAACAGCGCAAGACTCCATCTCAAAAAATATGAATATATAAAAAAGATAAAAACTCGACTTTTTTTTCATCAAAGTTAGTAAACGGCCACTAAAGTAACCAGGGGAGTAATATGATCAGAATTAGTTGTTAGGGAAATTGCTCAGACAGAAGGCAGAAGGATGAAGGTTAAGTTCTGGCTGAGAGAACAAAGAAACAAGGAGACAGGGTAGTAAGCCACTATAATATATATAAGCGTTTCTTAACAGGACACCATTGAATCTTGTGCTATAAAATTCTTTGTTTCTGGGAAGGGGCTGTCCTGCACATTGCAGGATGTTTAGCAGCATCCTTGGCCTTACCCACTAGATGTCAATAACACAAGCCCAGTTATGATAACCAAAAATGTCTGCAGGCATTGTGAAATACCCTCTTGGCAAAAATATTGCTCCCAGTTGAGAACCACTGATCTAGACTGCAATTCATTTGGTCATAGATATGGCCTGATATTCTTGTATCTGCAGTGTGTTTGTTACAACAAAGAACTCTCGTATAATGGAAGGGTAAGACTTATCTCCTGTACTCAAGGAATTTAAAATTTGGCTAATGAGACAAGGTGCACCCAAGAAGCATTTCAGGAACAATGTATAAGGCAGTTTAGTTTTAATAGTTTAGCGTATGGTGGAGATAATGAAGTGTTAGTCCATTCAGAGGGGATTGGGACATTTGAAACTGACCTCACAGGGAAGGCAGAGGCTGAGTAGTTGAGTGTTGAAGTACAACAAGTAGAATTTGCTTAGGTGGGAAACAGGAAGAAGAGGATTGTTGGCAGCGAGCACAGAATGGGCAAAATTCTGAAGTTACTAAAGTAATGGAAATTTTGAAGAGTGTTAAAAAGTGTCAGGCTTTTTAAAGAGAAAGGGGAACCTTGGGTTAATAAGGTTAAATAGGGATAATGGTTCATATCAGGTTCATCCTTGAAGATCAGATTCTAAACTGTATGTTGTCATGTATTCATTCAATGAGAGCTTATTTTATGCCTAGAGTCTGGTTCCCATAGTATCAGGTCCCTCCTAAGCTGTTCCACCAAATACAGTTCTGGTGAGGCCAAGCCATAAGCCCTGCTGCCATGGAAGGAGGGTACAGAGAGGAATCAAGCCCCTCCCATGTGCTCTGAGTAGCCCAACCTACCAGCAAAGGCAAAACAGTGCTTGCCTGGCAGAGAACAGTGACCCTGGAGGGAGCAGGGGGTTATGGGTGCTGACCGCACCAATTTTCTTTGAAGCCTTATTTTTCTTTCTAAAATTTCGTGTGAATTTTACATTGTAAACCCATAGAATATCTATTTTCGCTTTAATTTAATAATTACATTTCTACCCAACTCCCAAATTTTAAACAGAATTGATGTTCTGAAAGATGTAACGTTTATCCTATAGCTTCCTGTACTTTTTAGTATACCCCCATATCCTCCCCTCTTCCTAACCCCTGAGGTTACATACAGGTACCCCAGTTTGAGAAGCACAGTTTCTAATATGTGGGAAGTAATTTGAGATCATTTAGCTGGACCGCAGAGTTAATAAAATTTGTATTTCATGGAAGATTAACACAGTGGTCATGTGAAAACAGGTAGGAAAGTTAGAAGGTTTTGCTTTAGTCTCACTGCAAGGAAAATTCGGAACCTAGGTAAAGAATGGGGGCTATAGAGATCCAAAGGAAGAGAAGGGGAAAAAGGAACATTTTCTTTTAAAATAACTGTGGGTATTGTGACATTAAAGTCTGGCATTCATCACACATGGATGTAATATGCATTGTTCAGTGCCGTTCCCCTCTAGATATTAAACTCTTTGAGGATGAGAACTGAATCTGATTTGGTCACATTTTTGAACCCCTGACACACAAGTGGGGGTCAGGATATATTTAATAAATAAATGTGTGCCTAAGGGTTGACATAAATGACAAGTGGGAATGGGGATGGATGGAAAGTCTCTAACTGTCTCCCAGAGAGAGTGAAGGGTTGGAATTCAGTGTGGGACATGCTATGGGTGAGGTGACATGAGCTGTCTAAGGAGTCAGGGCCTCTCTGGTGAGTGAAGGCAGAACCAGGCTTGCCAGGCCACCAACCCAGGGTGGATGCCAGAGATGGCACAGGAAGCCCTGGCATCCCCATAGCCCAGTGTGGCTGACAACAGCCTTAGCTTTGGAGTCAGACAGACCCATGTGAGTTCTGGACACTGGGGAATCAACTGATTGGGAAGCTTGATGAACCCTGAACAGAAGGGCAGGGATAGG